GTTATACTATAATTACTATTATATAATATTATTAATATATGTTATTAAATTATGTTATTAAAATATTAATATATGTTACTAAAATATTATATAATATTATAATAAATACGTTATACTATAATTACTAATTAATATTATATAATAATATATTACATAATATTATTAATATATGTTATTAAAATAGTATATATATGTTATTAAAATATTAATATATGTTATTATATAATATTATTAATATATGTTATTATAATATTATATAATATTATAATAAATACATTATACTATAATTACTATTATATAATATTATTAATATATGTTATTAAATTATGTCATTAAAATATTAATATATGTTATATTTTATATATCATGTCATATATTTATAATATAATTGCATGTATTAGTTAAGTAATACAAAAATATTTTAAAATTATCCCAATTGCCTTCAAAGTGGAACAACATTGTTCCAATATGGAGGATGGGGTAAATTTTTACTATTGGGACAAAATTTTTGTATATAAGTGGGGTAATTTTATCCCAAGTGCTGTAATTGTCTCACTAGTATTCCAAAAAACTAATAACACAAAAGATATTATCCTTGTTCCATTATCCCAATGAATAACACTATGAAATAGAATCCCCAAAATTATCCTATTATCCCCCAAAATATCCCAACCAATGACCCCCTCCCCCCTAGAGAATCTAACTATAACGCGATATGTATAGCTTTATATATTTTCTATCGTGATAGCATATCGATTCCTGGCATTACGATAGACCAAAATTAATTTTAAAAATCAAATAAATTACATATTATGTACCATTTCATCAAGAATTAAGAGAAGATATATGTGCTAAGTGCATCCCTATGAGTTAGTTGATTTGGGATCTATTGATAAAGGGAATAGTCGAGGAGTGGTTATGCAGTACAGTTGAGCCTTATGGGCAATGTCTTTAGTGATGACTTTTATTTTATGTTTACCGAGACCTCAGACACTTGGGATACTTTGGATGATGGATTTTTAATTTTATATGCATATCTGGGATTGCTAATATCTTGTTATTGCTTGATTATTTTGACATAGAGTATATTTATGTATGATGTGTACATGGTACACAAAGGGCACTTGTGCACCATTAGAAAGTTACATTAGCAGTTAGGAGTTCCTATAATAAAAGATATCCCCTTTGAAACTATATAGTTGCTAAAGTTGAGATTGAGTATCGAATGTCATTTCACTTGGAGCAACAACTACATTGTTGTATTATTGGGTATAGCAATAGTCGGAGCACTCTGTTGGTCACCTTGACTGGTTCAAGATGAGGT